CGCGGCCTCCCCCTCTCCGGGGCCCCTCTTCTCCCCACCTCGCCCCCCTTCCCGCTCCGGTCCTCTTTGTCCCCGCTGCCTCGGAGCGCTCCTCTCTCCCCTCCTTTCCTCGGCCGAAGCGGACGCCAGCCCTGCGTCCCGTGTGTCCCACCCTCCTCCTGCGCGACCACCGCTTCCCCGGGCCCCAGCATCCCCAGGCCGTCTGCTCCCTTCCTGTCGCTTTCCTCCCCACGCCCCGCTTCCTTCCTTACGGGTGCCTGTGCCCGGGCCCCTCTCCTCGACCCCGCCTTGCCTTTCGAATGTCCCCTGCGTGGACACACCTAACCCAGACGCCAACCTGCAAGAGTGTCTCCCGGTAGCTGGGAACCGGGACCCAAAGTTCACCTGTAGGATTTCCCAGAAGGGGTGTTGGGGCCTGACCTTTCACAGGTAGGCAGACTTGAAGCTTCCCAAGTGAAGCCTCGTGTCGGTTCTCTTCGTATTCTCTTTGCTCTTGTTTGTATTCGAAAGGCATTTGAGTAACTGGATCTAGGCAGATCATTCACTGCTCTTGGAGAGAAAATGTCCCTATTTTCCTAAAAGGTCCTAGCTGATTAACTTCCCCACTCTGCACTCACCCACCCCTTCTTTATTTCTTTATCTTTCTTAAGCTCCATCTTTTTATTTATTTATTTTCTCATCGGCTTTATTGCTTTGAGTTAATCTGAGAGTTTGGCCTTCAGCCTTGGCGAAGGGAAGAGGCTTTATACTAGATGGGAACGTTGTGGAGAGGCCGTGAGATCTGCCCCCTCCCCAGCTTTGTTATCTGCGAGCCACTTTAACCAGAACGGAGACATTCTGAAATATTTCCTATGACACTCGCTAACAGTTTTGTCCCCTGGTCACACCTTGCTGGCCCAGGGCCTGAGCTTTTTCAGACAAGCATGACATGGGTTTTCTTTTCATTTCTTCTGTTCTCCAAAGTGGATCGGGCTTGCGACACCTGTGTGTGTACCTTCGCTCAATATTATCTTTCTGGAACGGAGCAGAAAAAAATAAACTTCAATTAGGTGAAAGTTTATGTATTTGCTCTTCTCTTGGCAAAAACGTGGGTCAGGAGACTGCATGAGAGAGCAGTGTGTACTCAGAAAAGAAACAACTGCTCACATTGTCCCTGGGTTGACTCCTATCCCCACCCTCCCTAAAAAGCTTTGGTTTCCCCTCCCTAGTCTCCATTTAACGTTGACAACCCAGCGGCGCTCCCTAATGGCCCAGCAGGTTGCACAAATTGACAGTGAGCTGAGATATTATCAGGACAACACCCCATTGAGTAAGTTCTTGAAACGCAGAAGTGGAGGCCCTTTCTGTGGGCCACTGGGCGCCTGTGGCCTTTCCACCAATCAGAGCTGGAGGTTGCAGTGGCCACCTGTTGTCTCGCAAGAGAACATCTTTTAAGTTTCGCTATTAGTATTTAACAATAGCCTATAGAGCACGATCTGGTCACAGGAGAGGAGCAATGTGATGATCTGGGGTACCAAAAAAGAATTTAAATTTTTTTTTTTTTACAGATAGCTCTTACAAGGAGCCAAAAGTCTGGAAAGCTAAGTTTTTCTTTGCAGACTCACAATCCTCACCTTCTGCTCATTCTGTTTTGCATCTGGAGCAATCTGAGCTTGATTAAAGGACGAAGGAAAGTATAATCAAAGTTACAGAGACTAAACCTGAACTTGTAATCAGACTTCGAGGATCAGGAATATAAATACGCTTCGCAGCGGAAACCCGCTAGCTGCAAGAATGGGAATTGCAAGTGGGCTGATGTACTGCATTCAGCTTTGGGCGGTGGAGCCTAGAAAATGAAGCGAGAACTTTACCCCTAAGGCTCTCAGGAGTTAGGAATGCGCAATGACAATCCCTAACTTCTGGCCATTGTTTTGGAAAAGTCTTTCTCTTAAATTTCCCTTCCCTGTTAGGATGCAAAGGCTTTTGGGAAGGGAACAATACTCATCCGTCTGCATTTTATTATTTGATTTAGGATGTAAGGTAAGCAAAAGATCTGAGTTTAGATTTTGATTTGGGGGGAGGGGAAGAATCCGGCTGATGAGCTGAAGATGTGTATGTTGAGGCATTTAGAATGAGAAAATCACTGGAACAGAAAAAGGGCACCGGGGAAGGCTGCTGACTTGACGATTTTGCCCAATCTCCACGCATTTGGCAGCTAGCTATATTTATTTATTTATTTATTTATTTATTTATTTGTTTGTTTATTTAAGTACCTACCATGTGCCAGACATGATTTTAGGCACTTGTGAATGAGAAAGAGGATTCGATTCCCAACATGACACATATAGAAGTCCTCAAAGAGGACTATGAATTGGGCTCTTGGAACACAAAATACACACGTACTCACATGCACACGTGTATACATACCCTGAACCATCCCAGTCACCTGGAGATACTGACATGGCACAGCCACTAGCTGCTGTTGAGAGAAGCAACATGAGAAACAAACTCACATACAGTGTGAAGGATGCCAGCTTCTACATCCCCATGGTATTTGTATAAGAAGGCTCAAGGGACGAGGCAGTGCACACTGATAGATCATTGCTGAATCCCAAGAACCTCAGACCATGCTTGGTACATAGTTTGTTTGCAGGAAATAAATATTCATTAAAGAAAGAAAGTTCAGAAAGAACATGGGAAGGAAGAAGGAAAAAAAATCAGAATGTTTTAATAGTGTAATTTATTTGCAGGGAACCTTAAGGCAGGATTTGAAAGAGTGTATCCAGGGCCTCTGATGTGAATTAGAACAATCTACCTTGGGTGGGGTGGGGGCCTTTTGCACCCTGCTGTTGTAGACTCTTCGTAAATATTAAAACTAGGATCCTATGTGGTTTCCTTTAGAAATGATCTGATTATACTCTCCATTGCTTTCGCACTATCATCTAATTTTAAGGGTTCCAGTGGTTTTGAAGACTATCCATTAAAAACTTTAGAATGATGCTTTAAAAAATTAAATGCAATTGTAACTGTCATGGTATTTGTTATCTTAAGGGTGTCACTGTTTTCAGTCTGTCAGCAGTCTTGTTTCTGAAAGCCATAGACAAAGGTTTCCTTTATACTGGATTAGCCTTGAATTCGAAGAAACTTCTCCAAGAACATATCTTAAATATGCTTTGAATTTATGCTGAACAATGCTAACAGTTATTGACTTAGAAGGGCAGCAGAAGAATCAATTCTGCAGCCAAAATGCAACTTCTGGGCATAAGAAAATTCCTTTAGGGTTTTGAGATGATTTGGATCAAAACTGTCCATCTTATTATAATGCTTGATGTTTCTAATTAAATAGTTGATGTCATCCAAGAATCCCTTAAAAATGGGGAGAAAATACACAAACTTTACGTTGTGGGAAAACTACCTTACATCTTGACAGAAGCTGAAACCTTTCTCTACTTTATCTGGTTTCAAATTATGCAAGAAAGTCCCCACGAGGACTTCATTAAACCTGCCAGAGTTTTATAACCAAAAACCTCACTGGAACCCCCACTTTTACAAATCTATGAAAGTAATTTAACCCCTCCGTGTTCTGCTTGCCCAAGATGAGACGCAAATACTATTAAACAGTATATACAGTTTAATTCTCTTGAGTTTGGGTGATGAAAAATCCTATCCAAATATTACGATCCTTGCAATATGTAATGTAACCAAATTATTGGTAGCTCCAAGTGGAAATTAACAAGGCCAGGGCTACTCACGTTTCTTCTCATCTATTCTCATAGTAACAGCTAATGTATTGCTAAAATATTGCTAAATATATTTATTGCTATATTGCTAAAATATCTTATATTCAGTTTTATATCTGAACTTGGTGTTGTGTCATAAATCGTAGCATTCCTATCCAGCCTGGATTCTTAATATGTGTATCCTCATGAAATTTAGGAGATTTTCATATCTGCGAATCAACACTTCACATGCATAGTCTAAACCATATGCAAATAAAAGCAAGTCAGAACCTACCAAGACTCTCACCATAGTGAACCTACACATGGTATAGAGGAAGAATTCTTACCTGGGGGACCTGATGACGCATCACTAGTGCAGGACATAAAACGAATCACCATAGAGAGATCCACACAGGAATTACAGTGTGAAAAAAATCCCCAAGCATAGCCATTGCTTAGCTTCAGTTTTCAGTGAATCTAAACTCTTCTGGTCTGAAGATGTGAACTATTTTGATATTTTTACTTTGGTCAAAAAATATAGAAATCCAAAAAATACAGAAATCTGGGGAAATGGGAGAAAAATAAGCAAACTTTTCCTTCATGATAACAAATATATATTCAGTTGTGTACATGAGGTTGTTTCTTATATTACTACAAACAATTTTAGTCCTATTGGTCTCTGTATTACCAGGCACAAGAAGAGCTCTAGAAAACTAATCATTTTGTCAGTTGACTATTACTTTTACTAAGAATAGATACACCCAAAGGTTCTGACAGATATATAGTAATTATGGAACAGTAACCTCCAACCCACTGGTAGCAAAATACTATAAAGCCAAGAATTCATTACCACAAATATGAAATGCAGCAAGTATTTGCTTGTGACCTAAGTAGCTCTTCAGTAAAGCTATCTTAGAAACCAAAATACTCAACACAATCAGGAGGTGTGCAATTTTCACTGTATTTATACTCTGCCTTTAAAAAAATTACATTCACAGAAATCCTAAACTGTCGTCCTGCCTGTTTTCTGAAATATATTCTATTTCTTTTAAAGTGAAAGAATGACCTCTTTTGCAGGAACAATTTTCAGAGACAGCGTGTTTATCAAATGGTTTCTCTGCTTTCATAAAAACAATTTATTTTCACTGAACTCTTCAAGATAAGCATCAAAACCAGGAAGAATGTACAATGAAGTTTATAATTTCACTCCAGAAACAAATACTGGGTAGTTTTTATTTTACTTAAGTGAAAAACATTTTTTTTTTTTTTTTTTTTTTTTTTTTTTGCCAAGGAGACAAAGGTACTAATGGGGGAGGGGGTTTATACAGGAGTGAAAATCAGGAAGTCCAGATAGTCTTCAGCAGGAGAGGCCCCTGGTGTCCACAAAGACCACCGACTGGACAATGAAAGCTGAAGACCCAGTGCTTTCTTCGCAAATGGGTGGGGGTCAGTCCACAGTTTTATTCTTTGCTAGGGGACAGCTATAGAGGCATTAAGGAGAGAAAATCATTAGGCAGATATTAATTAAACCCTTCTATAACAGATCTGTATACCATTGCACATAAATACCTCTCATAGTTGGAGCTTTGGATGACAATCCTTTCTTTGATAAGCGTCCATGTTTCTAGGCTTAATTTATATGACATGTTATTTTTTAATAACCATAGAACAATAAAATTGTAAAAATAACCAAGAAAAGAACGGAGTCTAATAAAGATTCTGTTTCTTAAGAAATGGGAAACAATTGCCTCTGATCACAGAACAGCCAAGAACTAGCAGCAAAATAATCTCTCCTAATTTACATAGATCTGTGTGTGCCAAACAGATGAGTGTTTGCTTTTCGAGTAATAGTGCAGGTGCGTATCCTGCAGTGACTAAATCTCCAACTCATCAAACTGTTTCGCTAGAGTGGGACATGCCCTCTTTTTCTGGAACAGTTTCAAGTTTTCTCCCCAGCATTCCAGCCACCTGTTTATGGAGTTCATCCTCGGGAGAAGATGCATGCAATTAGAAACAAGAAAATGAAAATAAATGACCTTGTTTGTTATTTATAACAAAGAAACTCAGCAAAATTAATGCTGTGAAGCTTGACCTCCTGACCCTGGAAAAAGAGCCACCTCATGGCTTTGTGGTCAATGGACAATAGTCTGGCAGCTCCCATTGTCCAGCCACCGTGACTTTTGAATGGTCATTAAAGCCATATATCCAAAATATTAAATGTTTTATGAGTTAGATTAGAGGATTTGCACTTTTTAAAATGCATGTTTTAAAAACTGAGGTTAGTTAGCACGAGAGATTTTCTTTTTAAGGAGAGCAGGTAAAAATCATTTAGCTTCATCCACTCCCTCTATCCTGTATCAACAACATGTTGAAAGAAAGGAAAAGATTTAAAAATTTTGAACTAGTGCTTTGGGAATTGAGGAATGGTTAAATATATAATAGAAATCAAATAGAAAGGTGGCTTTGAAAGTGGTTCAGGGAAAACATTGTGTTTCCTCCCTGTTGAGGCCACAGGGAGGAAAGGGAGAATTACAATGTTCTGTTACATAAATGCAGTGTGGATGATGCCCCCTAGAGTTGTGCGATGAAATAGCATTGCTGTTTTCCCTTCCACCTCTTATCCCAACCCACACATCCTAGAAGCCCAGGGCAGGCAGGAAATGAAGGTGGCAATGGAGTTTTGAAGACTCTTCAGAACCAGTGCTTGGGTGGAACATCTTGAGGTAGGATGGCTACTGAAAATGACACTCTAGTAACTTGTGTGGGTGATTCTAAAGTTGGCCTCCCCTACTGCCTCTTGCCTCTTTCCCCATTTGGTCTCCTCCTTCATTCACCCACAACAAATCCATGAGCGTCCTGGATTAGTCTAAACCTTACAGTAAAATCCCTATTTGATTTTTTTCCATCCAAGTTGCTTGTTTATTGGCCAATCTGCCCAGTGCTACTACATCTTTAATTGTTTAATTTTTCCCCAGGAGAAAGTAACTATTTATTTAAGAAGGATCTCTACTATTCCTCAAAGTATCTTCTTCACTGTGAAATAAAGTCAGTTTCATAAGGCATGTAGATTGTCATGCAAACACCACCCTCAGCATTCTAGATCATACCTCCTCACTTTCCCTTTTCTTTCTGATCCCCTGAGGGTAGCTCACTATATGCCCCTCCCTACCCCTTCTTGGGGATGCTGCAGCCATAAATCTGGAGAGATCATTAGAATTACGAACTCTGGTTGGTGTCTCAAATACCTACAACAACAACAACACAATTATAGCCACTGTAGAGCCAATGTCCTGGTTAACGCTTGTGTAACTGGCCAATTCTCAGGCCCATAGAAAGGAGTTTAAGGAATTTTTTGGATCTCACTAGTCTAAAACTTCTTCTGCAGTCCAAAACCACATTTCAACTATCGTTTAACTGAAAGACTGAGCCCTCTTAATCTGGAACCATCACTAACTGAATTCCCCCTGTGTGCTTAAGCACCAAGTTAGAGAGCTGTGTTCAGCGGCAGCGAGAAAGAGTAGAGTGTGATTACTGCATCTTACCCATAGCTGAAACCTGTGTCATTTATTTTTCAACAAGTGTTGACTGTGCCTTTCTAACTATATGGTACTACGTTTCCACAAATGGGAAAAAGCATGATCCCTGTTTATACTAAACATGACAAGACATGAGGAAAGTAGTAACATAATGAAATATTGTAATCAGTGCCATAGAAAAAGCATTCTCAGGCTAGAGTAGTCAACAACATTTATTTACAGAAATTGTTACAGGTAATATGTTAGTGTGCTGCTTAGAAAAGGGGGGATCATTTATGATTGGGATAATCAGAGGAAACTTCATGGAGAAGGCATTTGAAAGTAGATAGCATTTTGGGGAGGCAAGAGGGATGAAAAAATATTCTAGCGGAGGGAGGTTTTGAACACAGTTATTAAAGAGAAAATATTCCATGCGTGGTGGGAATTTTGGGTGGCATCAGCCATTTGTTGGGCAGATTAAGCTTCAGTAACAAATAACCTCTAATATCTTACTGGATTACCAGCACAGACGACTATTTCTCAGCCCCCGTTCCAGTCCACCACTCATCAGCTGCTGTTCATTTGCACATCTTCATCTCAGGACCAAAGCTGAAAAAGAAGCTTCTATCTGGGGCATGTGGGTCTTGTAGCAGAGGAAAAAGAGAGAGTGGAAACCCGCTACAGCTGTCAAAGTTTCTGGTCACATCATTTCTGCTCACATCATTCCCTCTCACTTTTCACTGGGCAAAGCAAATCAGATGGTCAAGCGCCATGTCAATGGGGCAGAAAGTATGATCCCTCTGGAGGGACTGGCCTGGTAAAGAGTAAGGAGGAGACCCCTATTTTGCAATAATGTAGTCGGTGCCATGGAAAGAGTGTTTTAGAGACCTACCAAAAGTTTCAGGCAGCAAGCAAAATTGTTTAGCAGGAGGAGTGAGTGAGTGTGGAGGGGAAGAGCTTGGTGAGATAAGATGCTGGGAAGTCATAGTGGGAAGGAGACAGGCTGGGAAGTGAAACATTACCAAGTTTTGGAGGCCGGGCAGCTGAGTTAGATTCGATGCAAGAGGATGTATGATGGCATGAAAAAACGCGGCTGTGAGTTCTGATCTAAAGTTTGTTTTGACCCATATAGAGCAGACTCATTTAACATTTAATTAGTTTATACTGTGTGTCAGTTGTGGTGGCATGTAGACATTTGCATAGATCTATATTTTAAATTTTGATCCTCCTGATGCCTCTCTGGGTTAAATAAGTATTATTCTCTTTGTTAAGCTGAAGGAGGCTCACCGAGGTTGAATGACTTGCTCAAAGACACAAAAGCAGCACATAGAACTGTGATGCAAAGTGAGGTCTTTCTACTGCATCACTGCAGGGCAAAGAAATTAAAATGTCACCTTTCTTTAGTATTGACTTGTTATTCTTTATCTTCTCCTTATATACACAGTCTGAAAGCAAGTTAATATGATGTTTTTTCTCCTCAAGCAGAAGTTGCAATTAAAATATGTTTGTATGACTACTCCTTGCATAATACAACTTTATAAGTGAATAAAAAAGAGACAGATCGTTAACTAAGGTATTTATTATAAAATTTTGTGACAGAGACAGTTACTTCTAACCAAATATATGATGCTCCCCACTATGTGTTTCTCAGTTTTTCCTGCTGTTAGGTGAGGAACAGCTGAGGCAATTAAGAATTGGTATTCTTCCTCCATATCTTTCTTGACCTACTGTGGTGTCCTGGGAAGACATATGCACCAGGTGTAAGAAGACAATTCATGCCACAGAATTCACGTGAACCAAACCATGTCTTGATGGTATTGCACTACAAGATATGCAGTGTCTATTTGTTACAGCAGCGTAGCCCAACCTATCCTGATTAATACAGATCCTTCTGACTTTAATTGATACAAGGAAAGTGACCGTACCTGTCTTGCACATCCTCTTATCCCTACTGCTGAATACAGGACCTCCCACACAATATATGCTTAATAAATTTTGATTAGAGGAAAATGAATAAATCTCAAATTGAGTCTGGACTCTATCATTTGTTTAAACCACTTATTAACTGCTTTTAGAAACCAGTGGTTGATCAATCTTTCTGATATATCATTTCATCAGATCACTCTTCAGATCAAGACTTTATTACATATTTAATAAATTTAAAACTCCTTCCTCTGACATTCAAGGCCCTCATAATCTCACCTAGATCCCTACAATTTTACTAATTTATTGCTCTAATCCAATTTAACCTATCACTACTGGCCTGTGCCCCCTGGTCACTATATTCATTGTTCTAGGGACAAACATCATGTGTTCTTAGGCAAATCATTTCAAGTCTCTGAGCCTCAGTTTCCCATTCTGTAAAATTGTTATTTGTAGCAAAAGACATAATGCATACAAAAAGTTTAAGTTATGCAAATTTATGAAAATCCAAATTTATTTTGTACTTGTTGTTGGCATATATTAAATTGATAGATCAGAGGAGTGACATTAAAAAGGGTGTTGCCATTTCAATAACACATTTGTCAAAATCTCCCATGACAATCTTGCAGAGAATTACTGTCTAGGGACAAATGGTAAAAGAAACCAGGGAGACCCTGTTGGTTACCTACTCCAAATTCATTCCCTTTTTTTTTTCCTTAACCCTACCTCTATTTTATTTAAGTTCTGCCCTTCTCCTTGGGACCATATTTATCCAGGGAGGATCCTTTATGATGGCCCTATTTTCACTGTCAATGATTACTGTAGTCATGGACTCTGATGCATTTCTGGTTGATAAGATGTGGAAAAGAGTATAAGAGGGCTTCTAAGAAGGGTTTCCATGCTTTTAAAAAGAAACACTCAGAAAATATATAATAACTTCTTCTTCTGGACAGTGTCATGTCTTGAAATGTTGCAGCCAGCTTATCAGCATGAAAGGATCTCTAGCCCGGGGTCAGAGCTGACACACTGAGATGAGAATGGAG